TTTATGGTTAGTCATATTCAATGAACTCTGTAATTTCATGGGGTAATTATAAGTACCCAAATCTGGTAAAACAAGCTAAGTCTTTTCTTCCAAGTATAGATAATCATATGGCAGACCTGTAAATAAGAGGTGTTTTCAATGGATTTTCCTTCAGGCTGATTTTTTTACATGTTCACACATGTTATTTTCCTGTGCTCCCAGTACAGAAATAAGGTACGTAACTCAAATAATGGAGAATACAGAATATTTCCAGGAACAGGAAGCTGCCCTATATATTCTTGTATTAGTGTAGAAATTTTAGTCAAAAAACCTAAGTAGGTATCTATGGTCAATATGATTATTATACCTTAAATCTTATATACAAAAAGAATAATCCCCTCCTCTGAGTAGAGTGGTGAAAGGCAAGAGTTTTGTCTATTCAAGGAAAATGTCAAAGAAGCACCAGACCACTCTGCTTCCTCTGCCATGGTGCCACTTCTTCCCTTTTTAAATTCCTGGGTAGGCAAATGACAGAAGAAGGCAGTAGTGGCAACATTAATGCTGCCCCTTCTCCATGGAATGACCTTGATGTATCCCTAGATCATATAAAAATCCAAACTTTTGGCACCAAAACCTGTACTTGACTTATACATAAGGTCAACTTTTGCATTAGTGTATTTGGTACTCTTTTTGTATAATGCTTCTGTTCTCCATGTTGAAAGCTAGCTATACAAAAGAATAAAAGGCTAACTTCAGAAAGCAGCCAATTCAAGTCAAACTTTGCAGAGAATCAGTGGGACATAAATACTTATCCTCCTCCTACTACTAATAATAATAACAACAATAACAATAACACACGACCAAAAGCCAACAGGCACAGGAGATAAGTTGTGTATATTCCATTGTGTATATAACCATTGAGGCAATAAATCTTATGGGAGCTTCATGCATTTCTGCTGTGTCTGGTGCCTCATCAGCTTGCAGCCTTATTTAGCAATGACCTACGCAACAGGCCAAACTGAACACAGAATCCCCATCCCTTCCCAGCCTGAAATTCTCTTGATATTTTAGACTGCGACTTCCCTCACTTCTAAACAAGCTAGCTGGTGCTTTGGACAGGAGGAGGATCCCAGGTTGGAGCAAGTTGATGTAAGATCTACCAGAGCGCAATCACTGGTCCCGGGTAAGCAGAAAAACAATCTAAAATGCTCAGTTAATTCCCAGATGGGAACTGGTAGAGTTTATCTACATCTAGTTATTAGAGGTGTGAAAAAAATTGTTACTTCTTGGAAGTCGTATCAAATTCGTTAAATTCATGCATTAGGCGTGATTTCTGAAATATGCAGAAAAGATGGGGGGAGGAGAATTTAGACATTGAAATACTCACCAGACTTTTTTGTAAATGTTCTGTAATGTTTGGATGTCTCCCAAGGTCAATTTAATTTTCAGCATAACCAGTAACCCCGTTTAAGTAATTTTGGTAAAGCCTAAATTGTTCAATAGTTCAATATGGTATTATGTGCAATTACTTTTAGAAAGGCCCAGACTATGACTTTGGATAACATTGTTAACAGTGAAGGCATTGTTTTGTCTAAAATGTTTTAAATTATTGTATAATTCTATTTAAATGTTTCTCCCCAGGGTGGAGAAAGGCAGGGTAGAAATGTAAATAAATAAATAAATAAATAAGAGAACATAAAGGGCTTTAAAAAACAATTTGGTTCTATCATTGCCATCTTAAGTGTAGTTTGGGAAGACAAGGCCCCCAATTCCCATGAATACTAAAGGCCCTGCTGTTAAACTACATTTCCCAGAATGCAATGCTGCTCAGGACTCAATGAGGGCTGAAGGACCCAAAAGACTCTAAAATGCAGCAACTGCATTTTAGAGTCAGTCTAAATAAGAAATAAAATAATGGAATCTGCAAAGAGGACAAAAGTAAGTAAGTAATAGTATAAATCTGTGCTAAGTTGTAGTTATGTGGTTGTGTGTAATAAAGACAGATGTTCAAGGGGATTGCTGTTGTCACTTTTTGTGGGGGAGGGGGGATAAATTGTTTTTGTCTCAACTAAATTCCTGGATGGGCCATGGGATCCCCTCCAGCTCAATAGAGGAAGTATATTAATTGGACATCAGGAGGGTTTGGATGGTGCCTTTCTGTCTGGAAAAAGGGGATCAGTCTAGATGTGCTTTGATGGTGTCTGTAATGTGATTTCTGTTCCTGGGTTATAAATGGCAGTGCCTAATTGCTTCTGTTATAAAAACATGGTGAAAGTTTATTACACTTAAGAAGCTATCTTTGCACAAAGGACATTGCCCTATAGCACATTTTGCTTTATTGGATCTCCACCAATTTAACACAGTTTCTGCCACAAAAACAAAGTTTGATGTATGTTGAGTTGTTGAATATAGTGATATATATAAGGATGTGTAGTTTATTTTGTTCTCACAATAGTTTAAAGTAGGAAATATCATATTTTTATGTTTTCTTTGCCTGTTTCACTGTAGATATTTACTAAAATGTTGGATATAAAGCTAAAAGAACAAAGTTTCTGGAGTAGATCAACTACTTTCAAAGTAAAAACCACACAATGAGACAGGACATAACACTTTCAAACGAGGAACAGGTTTTCTTTATGATTAAAAAATGTTTTTTTTAAAAAAATAAAAGCTTTGAAAATTCACCAAAATCTGTGGATAAGTCAAACTTTCTGAAATTTGGTGAGCTAACAGGGGGAAATGTGTTCTACCATTGTTGAAAGTTTTGTCTTGATAGCTTTAAAAATGAGGGATATAGGAGCCCCTGAATTTCCCCCAATGATGGTGATGTTAACGCGCATCCGCAATTGCCATTAAGGAAATAATAACAAAATTTAATTAGTCTTGTCAGTGTTCCAAAATTTTCACCACCTAAACTTTAGAAACATTTTAGAAATTAAGTGCCAGCGCCCACTAGTTTTGTAAGTACTTTTGAACCATTTTTAATGGAGCACACATGCCTACTAGTTATGCATCCTTTCAGCCATAGTAGACTCCAAAAGACCTGGAATCATTTGATTTTGACCTACAATTGATGTTGAGAGAAAAATTGCTAAATTCATCACTGCTCTTTGCAGGTTCTGTAGCCTGTGCTTTTGAACTGAGTAAGACTAAGGGTTCTTGTATCCTCCAGATATAGTTGACTTCCCATCAACCTGAATTGGCTAATAGGTTGGGATGATGGAAATTAGAAGAAACAAAGGCTCTATCTACAGTGATCATTTAATACATTTTTAAACTGGTATTAAAGTGGTTTTGCTGTGCAGATGATTACATAGGAAATCCTGCAACCTGTTTGAGGTCCACAAATGACAGAGTACTGTTGCTCATAAAGGGGTTTCTTTCATGCACTTTTGTGGGTGATTATTGTCTGGCTGCTGCATTTTGAAGCTGGCTTGAAACTTCACTGAATGATCGGTGTAAACTGGACCAAGCTTTCTTTACTCCTAGGATATCATCGCACAGCCAGCGGCAGTGGTGCTCTTCTTAACAGTGAGGCATGGAAGCACACCTCACTTTGTCTTGGGTGCTTCACTGGCCGGCCAGTAATTCCATAGGAGGAAGCAATGTGCATGTGGCTTCCTCCCTTGGAGCTGGCAACATGGGAAGCCTCCCATGTTGCCTGGGTAGTGGAGGGAAGCCATGTGCACTATGCGTGCACCTCACTTTGCTCCATGGGAACATCAGCTAGCCAGTGAAGTGAGGCAAAATGAACGTCTCCATGCCTCGCCATGAAGAAGAGTGCTGCCGCCGGCCATGTGACAAGGTCTCTGGTGTAGATGATGCCTGTACTAGGTCAAACCAAGTACCTTTTTCTGCTTATGGCAAATAATACATTGACACACATATCTCCCATTATGTGTATAGAAGTTAACAGGCCAACTGCTGAATCTTCCTCTGACACTGGAGATTGTCCATCCCATCTGAGAGGAGAAGATGGAGTGGCATCTTCCATCCCATCTGAGCAGAAAAGAAAACTGTTCCAATGTCTCCCAGACTGTAGGATCTTCTTCATCAATACATTTAACCATCTTGACCACACTTTGATTTTACTTGTTACATATGTTCCATTTGTATCTGTGAAATGTTAAGAGAGTATGTACTTGTTATATTTCTTTTATATATGGAAAGCCTAAATCACCAATTATACCTATTTATTCACAAATGTGCCTATTCCTGTTGAAATATATTTCAAAGAAATAATGCAAATATATAGTGAATATATATATAAATGATAAATGGGAAAGGACATATCTCAATGTTTTGTAAACAGAAGATCCCAAGTTCAGTCTCTAGTGACTTCTTGGGGAAAAAAAATCTATTGGGAAAGAACTCCATGCCAACCATACAAAAAAAAAATCAGTCAATGATACTGAGTTAGATGAATTGGCAGGTGGGGGGAAGGGGATTCACACAATATTTGGGCTCTGGGAATGTTCATGAGCTGCATCGGGAAGTCTTCAGAGCAGTTTCCCCCAAGATGAATTGAGTATAGAAGTGATGCTTGACTCCAGAATGTAATTTCAAAGCAAACAGCTAATGATGCCAGTATCATGAAATGATGCTATGGTGGATTTTGCCCTAATTAAATCTAGTGGTGGATTTCTAAAAGTGCAGACAATAAGTGAATGAGCACAAGTCTCACTGCTCTCCATTCTAAACAAACATAAACAAGACTCAAAATATTTTGCTACAAGGAGAAAATTAGATCATCAAGATTAGGCCTTTGTCCTCCTTATGTACTGTTTCCTATTTGCCAGAGATTTCTTTTAATGCATGCGAGCAGTGGTGAAAATTAAGGTGCCAATCTCAGTTTAAATTGGCCAATTCATTTCACCATTTTATAACTATACCATTTCAGAACTTGTTCTTCTATAGAGCATAGGCCACTATGCCAGCAAATTTGTTTTGTGACAATTGGGCATTTTTGGATAATTGTCAAGAAATGGGAGAGGATAAGAAACACTTATGTAAGACAGAAGCAGAGTGCATGCATGCAGTTTATTGGAAGTACAGAAGAGGTTCAGGAATTCTTGATAAAAGACAAAGTATAAGCAGTGATGTTTCAGCAATGTAGATACAAAAGGCACAAGATGTTTTCAAGTGTTCCTTAAACAGAATAGCAGTGCATGCATTGAATTATGGGTAAAGCACATACAAATACGTAATTATTTGTAACTAGAATCAATGTTGGATTTCACAGGAAAAAAAATGAAACTACCTAATGTGTTTTTTAAGTTTCATTGGGGTTTTTTTAATGGCCGAAACTTATGTTTTGCCATAGAAACTTGAGTAAGATTATAGATGTAAAACAGTTACAGATATACTCCCCAAACATGCACTCTCTGCCAGCCCAAACCTATACCACTCCAAAATACATTCTGAACCCAAAACATGGATATTTAATTCAAGCTTCTAACAATTTGGGGCTATAAACGCCAATCCCCTATCCCTTAATCTGTTGTAAGTCTAGTTATAACAGCAGTATATATTATATATTGAGGGAAATGATGTAGTGTAATATGAACATGTACACAGAGGGACCAACAAAAGAAAATCTATATTGAAATACATATGTATTTAAATTTTCTTTATGGGCCAAAGTGAGAGAGAGACAAAGAGACACATTTTATTTGCCCCATAGCTAGTTAATGCATTATTTCCCTTTCTGAAATGCTTTGCTAGGCACTATGCAGCACAGAGAACTTAAATGTTTGTCCTAACTTAGTGTATCTAACAAAATTAGGATGTGAAAAGGAAGAGGAAATCATCTTTTGTGGAGGGAGAGTGCTTGAATAGTGAAAATAAATCCTAAAGACAAATACCCAATCACTAAAGTGAAGCCACAGTGATCTACAAAATACCATTATTTTGGGCATTTTTTCTGGCCTTAAAAATGTTTTTGGTGCAATTATTTTTCTAGTGCATGGCTGATACCAGTCAGTCAAAGCTTACATTTGGGATTGCAATTTGCAATCCCCAGGCAGGGGTCTCTACTGGTTGAGAGATTATCCTCAGCCAAAGATTTCTACTGGCTGAGAGATTTTGGTACCTTTACTCACAGAAAGGATTTCCCCCCCAAGATCAGCCATCAATATGTAGATTCAGCCAACCAATCTTGGTGCAGTTTTTTTCTTCCCAGGGTTTGGGCCTCAAAAGGCAGTTTTTCTGACTGAAGAGCCAACATGTATATTTCTGACTTCACTTCGGGAGCCACCATGCATGCTCCCTGAGAAACCTCCACCAGATCCAACAGCATACACACCAGAGGTGTGCGTTCCAATTCCAGAGCCTCCAATACTATGACCTCCACTGCCTCCAGCTCCTCCCACTACATGGTGGATCCCACCATGGTGCCCACTTGCACAGCTCCCATCAACAGAGATACCCGAGCTGTGCCTTCCACCCCCAGCACCTACCACATGCTTAGTGGTAACGCTAGAGCCAAAGCCACCCACTCCTCCAGACCCACTTCCAGAGGCGTGTTTAATCCTATATCCGACTCCCGATGCCCTGCCAACTGAGCCAGCAGATGCCCTGGAACCAAGTGTGTGGATACATCCTGCACTTCCAGAACTGAACCCTTCTCCCACTCCACTGTAGGTGCCAACGCCATGTTCTAGGCCTCTCCCCATAGCACCACTGTAGGCCACTGCGCCTCCCATGCCAACAGCACATTCACCAACCGGATAGCCTCCACTGACCATTGCTGAAAGAAAGATGGACAAAGACAGGTTCTGTTACTTTGATGGTAAAACTCAAATCCAGAAGAAACAAAACAAAAATCCCATACAGGGTGCTTAAACTTTTTTGAAAAGGGTGCATGGTACCATATACTCACTGACACTGACAGGGTTTCCCGTGCATATCCTGTTGGGAAAACAAAAGCATGATTTATTCACTTTTTCACAAGGGCAAGGGTTTTTTGTATTCTTTTTTTAAAGTCATGAGATATTGAAGAGTTGTTGACTTTACTATTTCATTTTTAGAAGGCCTTAGGTTTACACCATGATTGGGAATCCTGCATTCCAACCAGCAACTCCCCTAAAATGTTCCATGAAGAAGAATTGCATTTTCAATACACTATATTCTGCCCATATTGGGTAGGTTCAATGGAGCTTTGTGCAAGAAGGTGCTATTCCAAAATCCTGTTCTGGAAACACTGAAAATCTTTCTTATGGCTTCTGAGATTTCATAAGATGCCAAACATGTTCTTCAGGCCTATCTTCACAGATAAAAAGGTTAGAAATGTCAAAAAGAAGTTTCTAAAGTTGTTAAATTCTGTCTGTAGTAATGAACTTCATACTTCTTTGTGTTTCCCTATTCATTTGTGAGCTCAGTTGCATTATATTTCAATTTTCCAACCCTCAGTTCAGCACCTCTCCCCTTTTGCAGAAAGTGTCTTTACCTGGTTGTCCTCCTCCCCACATTATTCCTAACTCTATGAGATAGGTACGACATAGACCCAATGTATTCCATGTCTTTCACGCTTAGTGGTCTGCAGCCCAGATTTCATCTACAGAACACATTTAGAACACTTTGATGCCATTCTAAAGATTCTTAGGATTGGTAGTTTTTAAAGGTTGCACCTCACCAAGCACAAACACCCAGATCTTGTAAGATGTTGCCTTGGCAGTTAAAGTAGAATCATAGTACTAAACATATGTAGTGTGACAAAGATCTCAGCTTACCCAAGGCATAACTCAATATTTTAAATATTATGCCACATTGGCACCTCATGCCATCTCTTTACAATCTTGGGGTGTATTATGTCTATTTAAATATATGCTTCCTTTTTTAAGCCTCTTTTACATGTCAGTGAAAGTAGGAATGTATCCAAAAGTATGCCCCACCTGCTCTCTTCTCCTTCCAGCATCATTTTGTAGGTAGCAATCTCAATGTCCAGGGCCATCTTCGTATTGAGAAGGTCCTGGTAATCTCGGAGCAAACTTGCCAATTTATCTTTTGACTGCTGATAAGCATTCTGCAATTCGGCATGCTTATTCCGGGCATCTTTTAAAGCAATGTCACCACGCTGCTCAGCATCACAGATAGCTGACTGCAGACTGGAAACCTGGGAAGGAGGGGAGTACAAAAATTAGCAAAACATTTGCCAGGAAGCAAAACTTAAAAAGAGGTTAAAAGGGCAACTTAGGTGCCTCCCTGAAGAAGTATAGTCAACCTCCATATGTACAAATTTCATACACGCTATTCTGGTTACATAAACTGGTCACACCTGCTCTCACAGTGTAATGGAAGATGCTAAAATCCATCACCAGTACTTAATCAAAAAACATCTGACAGACCAGTCAGTATTTCTGTGTGGAATGAGGAGGGGACAAAAATGTTTCTTCTTGGAGTACAATTCTCAGAACCCACCACCCATCACACTAAGTGGTCATGTCAAACAGAATATCCTGAGAATATCATCCAAAAAGTGCAAATTTACCAAGTCAAGTTCAGAGTTATTCTCAGAAAAGGCAAATATAAAGAACAAAGACCAGAAAATCTGCCAGGAAACTTTTCTTATTTAGGTGTATCTATTTCTGGTGGCACCTTCTGAAATAGATCAAGGATGGCATTAGATTTCACTATGGAGCAAAATTTGAAAAAAAAACCTGTTCCTGTTTTGAAAGTGTTATTTCCTGTTTAATTGTTCAGTATTTACTTTGAAAGTAGTTGCTATCCTCCAAAAAACCCTTTATTTTTGTGGCTGCCACTAACTATGTTGAATTTGTTGAGACTCTAGGAGATATTCACTGAAAAACTACAGCAACAATTTTTTACAGTTTAATACACTTTCCCCATATTTTAATGATAAAACCAATTAGGAAATGGCATTTATAACCCAGGAACAAAAATTGTGTTACATAGTTTGTCTTATGGTTGGTAATGTTGCCTCTGCCAAGTGACCAAGTTTATCCATGGTAACTGAGAAAATACTAAAGCAAGATTTAGTGCCCTACCTGCTTCTTTGCATTTCCAAGATCAGTTCGAAGCCTTTGGGTTACTCTATTGAGCTCTGCAATCTCATGTTGATTACATTTAAGTTCTTCATTGAATTTGCTTCGGTTATTCTGAATCTCTGCAATCTAGTGAACGGAACAACAGTGAATTAGTAACATGACTCAGGATAATCGTCATTTGACCATGTGGTGTTATCTTTTTGTGCAAGGTTGGCAATCAGTATTTTACTTCCTATAATGCATTTCTATGAAAAAAGGCAACTCTGAAACACACTATATGCTGATGTATTTAACATATGACCAATACATCATTCCAAAGAATGAATATGTGACCATTCAAGTGAAACTTAACTGTGCACCTTGTTTCCAAAAAAACTATATCTGAACTCTGTGGATTGTAGTGCCCTCATCAGTAGAGCTTACTTTTTCTTGTTATGACTGGTATAGTGACTGTAAATTATATATGATGAGGACAATGGTGATGGCTTTCATTGGAAAAAAATAATATGCAGTCATTAGAGTTCAGATTCAAATGAATAATCTCCATCGGAATTCACAATGATACAGATCTGAGTAAATCTGCTTATAATTGCACCATAATGTTATCCTTTTGTCAGAAGTGGAGTGCTGGAGTTTGGGTAAAACACAGCACAGACATGAATATGGAATAGATGCCATTCCACACAAAATCAAATGTGCATATGGAAGATGGTTGTTTAACTAACTGCTGATTGCAATTCAAATTACAATAGCACCACTGACTTGGAATGGAATCATATTCTTCCAGAAGCTGCTGAAAATAGCTGTTTGGATGATGAGGAAAATGTAATCAGCCTAAAGCAGAAGTAAAGAATGAGCAAGTATATACTTGTGCTATTCACTGTCATTCTGCCAAATAAATACTGACCTTATTGTGGTAAAAGGCTTCAGCTTCTTGTTTGCTGTTATGAGCAATATTCTGATACCAGTTTTCTACATTCTGAAGAATGAGGTCCATGTGCAGGTCTCGCGTATTGTCCATTTTCAGAACGACTGAAGTGTCTAAGATCTGGCTGTCCAGTTGACTCAACTCCTGAGGAACATTAAGAAAAGTTCACACATCACTTTACCACTTAAGAGAGATAGTGATCATTCCTTTTCAGCCTGCTATGGTTCTGTCAGATGGGCTGCATATCATAGCCAACTTGTCCAATGGTTAGGAATTCTGGGAGCTGAAGTCAATGTGCACCATTGTTCTAAACCTTATTAAGACAAATGCTGTGAAAATATGCTGGATAAAAATCAGGGCACTGTCAGGGATGGGGGTCCTCTTGGTATATTGACGTCTGGTGGTACCCCTCACATATCTCTGAGTACTTCATCTGCGCTTCCCACATTTCTCTGCTTGCTCTCTTTCTCTTTTACCCACATGGGGGAAGAGGGGCAGGGAGAAAGAGTGACAAGAAAAAGACTACAGAAAAGAAGCATTTTTTTCTGAAAATTGTCTCCCACCCACCAAAGCATGCATGATGATCGCACTTGACACCTTCCTGCATATGTTGGCCTAGGTCTGCATCCAATAGACTTCTGCTAATGGCAGCCCTAATATAAAATAACCACCAAAGGTTTAGTGTTCTATCCAAAGACAGGCTTTTGCAAAACAACCTCAAATACACATTAAAATGAGACCTAGATTCTGACAAGGGAATTCTGGGAAACTTTTGATTGATTAGATCACACAATTAGAGATTGCAATACCAATGACAGACTTCCCATAGATAATATTAGTAAAATCATAGACTTGAAGAATGCAACCCTCTCTCTCTCCCTCCCTTCCTTTCTTCTGCTAGCAATGGAACCCTGTACGAGAGACATTTCAATATTACAGATGCAGGAGAAAAATTGAACAAAAATTGGGAAATCAGTTCCCATCCCTGATCTCTCTTATGTCCCCTGTCTTCCAGGGTCCCTAGCATTGCAACCATTACTACATGTCTGATACTACAGCAGAATCTAGTTAAACTGGTAGAGAAATAACTACAAAATAGTTCTTGAATCTACCAACATGTAGCTCTCTTGTATAGTGAGATGTTCAGTATTACTTCATTTCAGTGTTGAGAGAAAAGTACTGCCACTGAAATGGTAGCCCATCAGATAAGCCCGTATGTAGCTTTGGGGTACAACTACACTAGTTTGAAGCTGGCTTGCAGCCACAGTGACAAAACATGAAACATCAAACAGAAGCATCAATTTCCCAGTTCCTTGGAGTCAAATAGGTTGATCATTGCTCAAGATGTCTATTGAGCTGGTGGATATGGATGGTAGCTATTAATCAGAGGTATAATGGTAGTGTTACCATCTACTACTACTACTACTCCTAAGCCAGTGAGCAAAGGTACACCTTCAGCTGTTTCCTGAAGACAGGGGAGGGGGCCATATTTAACTCCTTAGGAAGGGAGTTCCAGAGGTAGGGGGAGGCCATGGACAAGGCCCATTCGCTTGTTCCCACCAGCCACACTTGGGACGGGGTGGGACCGAGAGCAGGACCTCTTCCGATGACTGTAGTGTCCAAGTTGGTCTATAATGGGAGATGCGGTTCATCAAATAGTCTGGATCTGAGCCATTATGGCTTTAAAGGTAAGAACCAGCACTTTGTATTTAGCCTGGAAGCCAGTGGAGCTGCTGTACCATGGGGGTGGCTCTCTCCCTGAACGGCACTCCAATTAGTAACCTGGCTGCCGATCCCTGGGCCATTTGAAGTTTCCAAACTATCTTCAAAGGTAGCCCCATGTAGAGAGTGTTGTAGTAGTCCAAATGAGATGTGACTAAGGCATGGACTACTATGGACAAGTCTGGCATCTCAAGGTATGGGCGCAGCTGGTGAACAAGTTTTAACTGTGCAAAGGCGCTCCTGGCGTCGCCAATACCTGGGGTTCCAGGGTCAGCAATGAGTCCAGCATCACCACCAGACTGCGAACCTGTGTTTTCAGGGAGAATACAACCCCATGCAACAGAGGTTGAAATCCCACACCCTTATCCGCCTTATGACTGACCAGGAGTACCTCTGTCTTGTCTAGATTTAGTTTCAGCTGGCAATAGGCTAATCAAGGGCATGGCTAGCAGTAGGCTAATCAGCCCCTTGGGAGCAGTAATTAATTACCTTCTCTCTTAAATGTCATTTTCCTTTTTAAAAAATCCCATATGCCTCTAGTACACTGATGCTCATCTCTGCAGGAAATGGGGAAAACCCTGCAAAGTGGTTTGAGGCCAGGTTCCATGGTAAATGTAATTATCTTCCTGATCTCAAACCAGTTCCAGACATAGTAGTCTGATGACCTGTGCTGCAAAACCAGTTCTTCCCAAGAAGTGCCCACAGTTAAATTCCATTTTATACAAAATCCGATATAAGGCCCTCAGTTGTTTCTTGTGAACTGCCCTAAAACTGGTGGGAAGCCACACACAGGCTAGATGATTGACTGGGTTGCAAAGAAAGGGAGGAAGGATAATGCCTCCTGGCTTCCAAGGTGGCTGCTTTCCTATGTGTGTGAACACAGAAGTATGGAAGTATGCATGCATGTACATGTACATATGTTAAAACCCTTGGTTCTCCCACCAACACAATATGTAGTTCTTACAATTGAAAATGTTTTGCCCACCCATTTGTAGTAGGTAATTTTACTATTTTCTGTTTTTCTGCAAAGTTCCTCACAAGTTTCATATGATGTGAAATCTTACCTCTGCAAAGACACATCTCAGAACTTCCAACTCCTGTGCCAGAACATCCACTTTAGATTCCAGCTCTTCTTTGGTCAGGAACACACAATCGACATCCTAGGGTGGGAGGAGATGCCAGAGAAGAAAGCGAAAGAGGAAGAAAAACTTGTAAAAATAGGAAATGTTTAAATAGCCAGAATCTATCTTTGCTGTCCTGGAATCCATGTTCTCATTCTTTTTAAAAAAAACCCATAGGTTTCACATAGAAAACTTCCATGGGCTTCACACAAACATTTCTTATTTTTCCAATGGCAAAAGAAAAATAGGAAAATTGTGTATGAGGAAAGAAGGCTAAAGTTATTAATGAGAAAAATTACACGTTGCACTCCACATTTGCTGATAGATTAATTAGAAATTGTATTAATATGCTCTCTGGAGGAATAGATAGGCCTACCACCAGTGGTTGACCATAGAATCACTGAAGGGCCTAGAGAGTCCTAGAAATAATACTTCTCTAGACATTTGTGAGTATCCAATGTGATTCTATGGTCATGTATTTCAAAAGAGGGGCTCTCTCAGGTTAAAATAAAATAAAATAAAAGGGTTTTTAAAAATCCCTTTTCCAATTTTGACAAGCTTTGTGACCCTAATTCCAACAAATGTGGAGGACCCACTGTACTATTGTAATCAGATAAGCTCTGAAATGTATGTATTAAGTTTAGACCACCCCTTCTTTTCCTTTCTATCTCCTGAAGAAATTTAATGCAGATTACTTTTGAACTTAGAACTCACTTTGCAGCAAATGAAGTAAGATGAGGTCAAAGGGGGGGGGGGGAGGCACCAGGAGAAATCAGAACAGCTGATTGGATTAACAGAGATTTGATGAGGGCTGTGCCTGCTGGCAGTGGGTATATTTATATTTATTCAGAAGTAGAGTGAAATGACCTTTTCCTCCAAGTAAGTGTTAGATTTTAAAGATAATGTCTTCTAGACTGGACAGAAAAGATAAAATGCTGCACATATTCTTGCTCTCCAGAGTTCTTCTTTCCCAAAACAAAATATATTACCTTTTTGAGTACCACAAACTCATTCTCTGCTGAGGTACGTCGATTGACTTCTTCTTCATATCTGTTAAAGAGCGAGATAGAGAGAGAGAAAGAGAAAAAATGTGGGTTTGATCTTGTTGTCAAGAGAAAATCAAGCCAGGATTTGGTATGCTAGGACTTTGGCCACAGAAGACATATTTTTTCATAAGTACTTTTGGTAGCTGGAAAAAGCCGTTCCTTTTTGGTGATTTTTTAGAATCCTAAAGATGTTGAGTAAGAGTAATCAGTGAACCAGTGGGCTAGAATTGTTCACTAATAATGATACAGAAACTTGCTCTGTCTTTATCTCCATCAACCATGTAGTACCAGAGCAGAACCATGTAGTACCAGAATACAGAAACTGTTTTCCTTCACTATTTCCTTATGCTGTTCTAATTATCTAGTATTTAGAAACTGCTTGGGATAGAAGGAATATTCACTATTATTCATTTTCTGGCCCCCGAAATGGTTACACAACACCCAGAATGAACAATACGATCTCTCTCTCTCGATCTCTCTCTCTCTGTGTGTGTGTGTGTGTGTGAATTGTGGGACTTTGCACACTATTAATTGAAGCTCCAAAACTTTTTTCAGACTGCATAATGTACTGGGAGATTCTAGAAAAAGATAGGTTAACAGAGAGAGTAAATAGTGATTCCACTGCACTATCTGCATTAATTTTAAAAATCTATCTGTAGAACTCTGCCCATGTAGGCTTTTCTTGTTGTGGTAATACAAATGAAAGATTTCCAGGTACCAATCTACCAAACTGGGCTTACTCACTTAGACCTGTATTCTTCAACCAGCTCCTGCATATTCTTCTGTTCATGTTCCAGTTTCCCTCTTTCACTTAAAAGACACTCCAGCTGCTTCTTCAAAGTGGCAATGAAATTCTCATAATAAGCTTCAAGGTTCTTCTTTGCAGGTTGGACACACTGGTTCAGGAGTTCCCACTTGGTGGCAAGCACCTTGTTCTGCTGCTCCAGGGATCGAACCTGAGAAGAATATATTACCCAGTCACATTTCTCAATTAGCAGAATATGTTTACAAAGACTAATGTCTTATTATACACTATGGCTGATGAGGGCCAGTGCAAAAGAGTACAGGGTTTTTGTTTCTTTAATAAATGCATAAACCAAAGGTTTCAAGATATGACGCTGATGCCAACCTAGTTATCACAGATGTAGAGACCTCTTCTTTTTTGCATCTGGCCATCTGAATAAGCACACAATTGGTTGTGAGGTGTAGAATTTTCTCCTTATGTCTCTCTCTCAATCATTCATCCTGGGGCACTCTATTCCCACCTGAGGACCCCACCTATGGAGTCCAGATGTTGTAGCCATGCTGAGACCACTTCAGCCCCACTGTACCAGATGTCTGAAAAGTTCCATGAGAACTCTCAGCTACTGTGGATGCCCCAGCAGAAGTGCCTATATAACCAGAGACAAACAGGTCCTGTGTGGACAGCAGAGCAGTCTACACCAGACTCGGTCTTGCTATCTAAGCAAAGTAAATAAATAAAGTAAATAAATATCTACAGTGTGCCAAAGCCATGCAATTGCTTCAGTGTTTTAGCCTGGAGAATTCCTCAACTTTTCTTAAGGTGGGACTAAACCAAAAGTCATAGAATGTCATGAAAAAGCCAGGTGTTGCTGCAGTATTAGGACCATGTAAATGAGCACCAAGTCTCCTTCCTCAGATGCTTAGCTAGCTACCACCCTTTGCATACTGATATTACAGACCAGCACAGCTGCATCTTTGGATTCTATAAATATAAATGTTATTTGAAAGATAATTCAACATTTTATAAACTTAGAAACATTAAAATCCATGAACAGACTATATAAAAACCACAGCACACCATTGATAGCCCATCGTAATGTGTTTCTAAAATCATAATGGTGTAAGAATGACTTGATTTGCAAATGAAAGGAAAGATGGAGCCATCCTTTCCTCCTTAAGGAGGAGATTCCAGAGCTCAGAGCAGCCACCAAGAAGGCCCTCTCCCTTGTCCCCACCAAATGAACTTGGAAAGGTGGAGGATCACAGATCTCCCCATTAACTTGTAGAGCTCCAGGGAGCTCACAAAGAATTACAAAGTTCTAATATCCTGAACCCAACCCATTATTTTTAGTATCTCTCTCTCTTTTTCTGCTGTTGCTACCATAGATAAATAGAGCAAAGCGGGCATTTTGGATGGGGGTATTTTTGTGAAAAGAAGTGAGGAAAGCAAGTCTTCAAGAATAATTCTTTCAATCTCTTTGTTGTGTGTGTGTGTGTATTAAAATAATGCATTATATAAAATACTGCATCCACTTCTATTTTGGACAACTGCATGCTCTGCAGAGAATGAACAGATAGACTGTAGAATGATGGATTGCATAGCTTCAAAGAATACAGGTGTTAGAACAGACATATGAATGTTGCTCTTTTGTATGAAAAACTTCCAGTGTGCACTAAGGGATCACAGCAAGAAGAGGGCTACATTAGATTCTTGTGGGTTTCGCCTGCATCTATGGCAAGCATCCTCAGAGGTAGTGAGGTCACTACCTCTGAAGATGCTTGCCATAGATGCAGGCGAAACGTCAGGAGAAAATGCCTCTAGAACATGGCCATATAGCCCGAAAAAAACCCACAAGAACCTAGTGATTCCAGCCATGAAAGCCTTCGACAATACAGAGGGCTACGTGTTTTTCTTCTATTTACTGTGGTTATTTCTCATATATAAAGAGCTTGGCATATCAGGCAAATATGAAACAAATGACACACACCCAGAATCTCCATAATAACATACAATCTGAAGTGGTACGAGTCATCATTCTGTCATTTTGATCTACCATCTCATGTTGTATTAGGGGTAAAAAAAGTTCATAAAACAAATGCCTCAGTGTATAATTTAGTCATAATCTTCAAATTGCACTTAATGTCCTGAAACCAAATGCAAGCACATTTTTCGTGCTCATTGACTTAAGTGCAGGGTTATGCATTTGTGTCTATTTCATGCTAGAAATGAATAAACAATCCAAGCATAGATCCAAAAGAGAAGTTATGGAAAATGACCTATATTAATGTTGTTCAGTTATAGTGGATATTATAAAGAATACTTTAACATTATTTTTAAAACTTTTATTTTTTTATTATCACATTTTTAGTATTTTTTTCTTGTTTCAGCATTTTAAAAATGTCCTGCATCCAATGCCAGAAGAAAGATGAATATAATTAAAATAAAATACACATTCCCAACACTTTCAAGGTTTCTCTGCCAAAGAGTGATGATTCCTTATCAAACTATCATTAAAGAGAACAGCCAAGAAAAAAATGAAGTTGCCTTGTCTCTAATTTGTTCCATGAGTTAATTTAATTTTTCAGTTAGCTGCAATGATACAAGGTATTTTATTGTTCTATTGTATGTACAGTATATTCCATCTCCCCCCTCAAAAAAAGCTGGCGCTAAAAATGGCCATAAACAGTGATATAATGGATAATTGCAAGTGTCCAAATTTTAAGGTGAGAGGTTTTGTTAGTTTCAAGACAAACTGTTGACTGAATCCCAAGAACGAAACAAAACGTACCCTCCATCACCCTAAAAGTACTGTCTAACCTCAGTAGGAGCAAGAGTATAATATACAATTCCTTGGTTCTATGCCTATGTTTCAGTTTTCAAAATTCAATCAAAACACTTGTCAAATGCGTGTGCTTGTGTGTGTATAAAAATTGAAATATTCAAAACCTCTAAGGCCCCTTCTACACTACTTTATATTTCAGGATCTGATCGCAGATTACCTGCTTATGCCAGATTATATGGCAGTAGAGACTCATATAATCCAGTTCAAAGTAGATAATCTGGGATCAGATCCTGGCATATAGGGACATTATGGAAGAGGTTGTAGATCCAGCTTTAGAATACACTAAGTAACAAAATTTGGGGGGGGGGGGGGGGGGGGGATTGTTCCTGGTTTGAAAGTGTTTAATTGTGTGGTACTTAACTTTGAAAGTAATTGTTATATTCCAGAAACTTTGTTTTGTGGTTGTCACAAACTATGTTGAATAGGTTGAGACTCTATGAGATATCCACTGAAAACCTATAGCAAAATTTGCTACAGGGATGTCCCTCAAAAACATTTTTTACACCTTTTATATGTTTTTATGATAGAACCAATTAGGAAATGACACTTCTAACCCAGGAACAAAAATTATGTTACATAGAGAGTGATATCATCCAGGGAGAAAAGTTTTTGAACTTTTTTTGTTTTCATGTGGAGGAACAAAATGGAGTACAGATTTATGATTCGAGTAATTCTCCATCTCAAAAATCTTATAAAAGGCAGATGCAAAACACATTTTGTTACATATAGTAATTTATCCGTACATGCAGCTGTCTTATTTGAGGTGGTTAAATTAATAGTAATAATATAACAAGAGCAACAAGAAACCAACTGACTTTCTCTTTCTAAAGCTGTGTCATGTTTGCAGTGTGACATAAACATACTAACTAACAGTATCATGTTTTATGCATGATGTTTCTTCTTAATGGAAGATTGTATGTGCATATGCAGATTGTGTGTATGCATCTTAGATGTGGAAATATTTCTATGTTGAAAGAAAGTATTTTGAGAAGTAAATTCAAAAGGAAGATGTTAAGCAAAGAAACACAAGTGATCAAAGGAAGTTTTCCTTCAGAATGAGGGAATGGTATAAAAAAGATGCTAAAAGAAAGGAGTAAAGTTGGTCAGCGCTTAATTTTTAAACTGAGGATAGAGAGAGGAAAATAGATAGCAATGCTCTTACCTTGTCAATGAAGCAAGCAAACTGGTTGTTCAAAGTCTTCATCTCCTCTTTCTCATGGGTCCGTGCTTTCTGCTCTTCTGGATCCACTCCAACGGAAAGTGGCTTCAAGAGGCGCTCATCAATGGAGACCCCTCGTATCCCCTCACCCCTCCCACCACCTGCCACACTTCCAATTCGACCTGTAAAAGCCCCCTGGGACTGAGGCCCACCATAACCTCCAACAAAGCCTCCACCATAGCTCATGCCACCAGTACCTTGGCTTCCAACATTAATAACTTGAACAGGCACCCCTTGACCATGTGCACCTCTGCCTTGACCACTGATCCCCATGCCTTGTCCTCCCATACCTATGCCCCCTTGACCAGGCATGGCCATAATGTGCCCACCCATACCCATTGCTTGACCTGGCAGACTTCTGCCTGGCCCACCCATACTTACACCTTGATTCCCTATGCATTGACCACCCATGCCCATACCTTGGCAACTGATACCTTGGCCACCAATACCTCCCATACCTTGACCAACCATACCACCATAGATTTGCCCTCCATATCCCTGGCCACAAGCTATCCGTTGGCTTCTGCTTCCAATGTTATTAAGACTTCTGCTGGAGTAGCCACCAGCTCCAACTGGCTGGCACACAGGGATGTATCTGCCTTGACTACCACCCAGACCACCAATGACAGAAGCAGAGGAGAAGTTCCTTCGTCCAGGAAAGCACTGGGGACCACCACATATGTTCATGGTAGCTTTTTAGGGGGTGGGGAAGTTAAGCAGGCTATATGAATGAAGCAAGGGAATGAGGGAACAGCAAAGGAGAAAGAAAAGAGCGGGGAAATCCTTTGATTTGAAACCAAGAGCATCTCTCTTATATATGGCTCAAGAGCTGCATCGGGTGCAAAAAAAAAACCATCAAATCAAGCAGCTTGGGTTTGGTTTGCCTAGCAGCTAGAAATGGTTTCTTTAGTACAACCTATGCTCCAGAGCAAATACTTATCATACATGGGATAGCGTGAAATTAAAAAAAACTTGCTATGCTTGCAAGCTTCCCTCTAAGAAGCTTTTATGTTTTACTTTAATTAATCTGCTTCCTCACAGTATGTAATTATCAGTCATCCAAATACTTCAAGTGGCTTGGTTATGGGTGAGTTTCACTTGCAGATTCATCCCTTTTAATTTTAATTATGTGAGGGAAGGTACCATTATTTTTGAAGAGCAAGATGGCATGGATTTATTTATTTATTTATTTATTTATTTATTTATTTATTTATTTATTTATTTGCTGTCTTGACATTTGGACCTGGACATAAGAGAGGCTACATTTGGCATTGCCACTACATTTTTGTTCTAAATACCTTTTGGAGCAAGTTTAGCACTTTTAGCAGCTCCACAAGCAAAAAGCGTCATAGAAAGGAAAATCCCCAAAAAATAATGCCAGAGGAACTCCGCAGAATTCTAAATTGCTGCCAGACTTTTCCCAGAGGAAATGTTTAAATGCATTTTGAAGTTTCTCTTAAAGCAAACAATTTTTGGGCTCAAACCCTGTTAAGAGAATAATAAAATTTCACAAGACTGCTTTGTATATGTCTTCTTCTCTCTCTTATCTACTTGTATGTCCACCCATTCATTCAACCATCTCAAGGGATATTCCAGAAGTGGAAAAAGCAGGAGGGCAGGACTGTCTTGCTGAGGAAAGCTTTTGTAATTGCTGGTCTCTTTAAACTGTTTAAAAAATTAAGTAAATTGTTAATGTGTCTCAAACTTATACCAGTGGCTATTAAAAATTGCCAGAACTGAAGAGGGGATGCTAACTCAGGTGAGCATGAGGCAAGGAGATAGATAGATAGATAGATAGATAGATAGATAGATAGATAGATAGATAGATAGATAGCAGGTATTTTGTCAGAGACCACAGGCATTAACTGAAATGGCTGGAATCATTTATAAACTAGAGTTAAATGGGAAGTTAAAATTCAGAAAGGTCTGATAGTGACCAAATGTCACTGGTGATGCAAACAACATGGCACTAGATAATCCCATTAACACATATAGTACAGTGTGGTGTAATGGTGTAGGTGTTGTACTATGCATTTGGAGGCCAGAGTTTGAATCTCCACTCAGCCATAAGAACCCACTGTGTGACCTTGAGCAAATCATACTCTCTCGAGTCTCAGAAGAAGGCAAAGGAAACTTTTGATTCCCATGAATGTTGCCATAAATAAAAAAGGCACACAATAACATTAAGAATCCTCTGTCCTGTCTAAAACCTCTGAGGACAAACTGGAACTTCCCAATGAACTCTATCTCAGACAAAGAACCAAAATGAATTTCAACAGGGATAAATGTAAAGATGGTAAAAGGTAAAATAGGTGTTAAGGCATGGTTGAAGGAGCTATGTATTTTTAGCCCATGGAAAAGAGAACTGAGGTCCCTTCTACAATGCCATATAAAATCCATATTATCTGGATTATATGGCAGTGTAGACTCAAAGAATTTAGTTCAAGACAGATAATGTGGATTATCTGTTTTGATAATCAAGATTATATAGCAGTGTAGAAGGGGCCTGAGAGGGGAGATGATAGCCACATTAATATGGCTACAGAACTGCAACGTGGATGACGGAGTAAGTTTGTTTCATGTTGGAACCCAAGTAATTGAATGAATTGACAAGCAAGTTATATTTTATTATAAATACTGTCCAACACTATAACTTACTATCTTGAAAGATTGTGAACTTTTCTTCATTGGAAGTTTGAAGCAGAGTTTGGATGGCCCTTACTAGTACTAGTACTACTACTACTACTACTACTACTACTACTTCCTTATTAGAGGATTCAGTAAATGGCCCAGACAAAGGATAGTTGAAAAGCAATTTTCAAAAATGTTTCAACTCTATAGTCAGGTTCTTCACACACACACAGGTTCAACCTATACTCTTCATTGATCTATTCTCATACATTCATGTGGTGATATTGATGTTAATGGTGCAGGGTGCAGTAGACGTGTTCTGAAATTTCATTTAAAATTGCCCACAGATGATTTAACATAGATGTGTAATGAATTTGGTAATGGCGCTCCATGCAGTCATGCCGGCCACATGACCTTGAAGGTGTCTATGGACAATGCTGGCTCTTCAGCTTAGAAATGGACATGAGGACGAACCCCCAGAGTTGGACATGACTGGACTTAATGTCACGGGAAAAGCTTTACCTTTACCTTTACCTAAGATTTAAAAGGGACAAAGAATAAATTGAAAAAAGGGAGAAATCATCAAAGAGAAAATCAAATTTTCTCATGTGTAGGAAGAAAGTCAAAGAAACAAGGAATAATTGAGGCTTGCTAGAGAGGATAAAGGGATTTTTTTTATTATTTCTGTATCAAAAAGAAGCACAAAGAAATGTGTGGTAGGGCAGCTGTGTAGATATGATGGCAAAATGCTAACAGGGGATAGAGAAAAAGCAGAAGTACTCAACAACTTCTTTGCCTTGATCTTGTCTAGAGAGCTGCACTAAAACTAACAAAATGAATTTCAACAGGAAGAAATGTAAGGTATGTTGGCAGAAAATGAAAGGCACATATAGAAAATAGGTAACACTTGACTTGGAAACAGTCCACATTAAAGGGATCTAGACGTCTTAGTAAACCACAATTGACATGAGTAAATAGCGTGATGTAGCACCCGAAAAGGCAATGCAATTGTAGGCTGCATAAATAATAGTATAGTGTTGAGATCAAGGGAAGTAACAGCACCACTCTATTCTGCTTTGGTCAAGAAAATTGTATCCGGTTCTGAGCATTTCAATTCAAGAAGAGTGCCAAGCTGGAAGGTGTCCAGAGAAGGATGACCAAATGGTCAAATGTTTGGAAAGCAAGCACTATGAGGAGCAGCTGAGGGGTCTATGTTTGTTTAGCTTGGAGAAAAGGTGAGAGGGGACATGATAGCCACATTTAAATATTTGAAAGATGTTTAGATTGAGAAGGGAGTAAGCCTTTTTTCCCCTGTTGCTCCAGGATTTAAGACATGCAGCAATGAATTCAAACTACAAAAAAGGAACTGCTTCATGAACTATTCAACAATAGAATATGCTGTCTCAAAGTGTGATTGGGTCCTCTTCTGTAGAGGTTTTTGAACAGAGGCTGATGACAATCTGTCAAGAGTGCTTTGACTTTTTATGGCATGGGGTTAGATTGGATGGCCTTTATGGTCTATTTCCACTCTATGCTTCAATGATCTATTTTGTAAGATCTACAGTTACTTCTAAATGGCTTTTAAGGAGATAATGACAACAACAACAACAACAACGTATTTACCTGCTTCTCCTTTCAGGTCAAAGCAAGGCACAACACATAGTATTTAAATAGGTTTTAAAATGATTTTAACTCTTTATTGTTTTAATTGGAACCCTTGAGGATTGGGTAGTAGTAGTAGTTTAGAAACACTTTAAATAAATAAATAATATTTCTTATCCTTAGTTTGCATTTTGGTCTGAAGAACTACATGAGCTCTCTGTCTGGGAATTGTAGATGTCCCAACATACACTACAAATCCCAGAACCCATAGCATGAAACCATGGTAGTTAAAGTGGAATCACAATGCTACAACCATATTGTGTGATATGATTCATATGTGTGTGGGCAAGAGTGTTTACAGCAGTTTATAAAATAATGGATGAGATGGAAAAAAGTGGAAAGTGTTTTTTCCTTCCCTCGTGCAGACTAGAACTCAAAGTCACATAATACAAGTAGCTAATGGCGCTTGTATTTTATTGATTTTGTTATGGTTTTATTATCCGATTATTTTTATTGTATTGAAATTTTATTTTATGATCTTGGCACCAACTGTAAACCGCCCCGAGTTGCCTGCGGGCTGAGAGGGATGGTATATAAATATAGTCAATAAATAAATAAATAATGCAATTTTGAACCTCAAAATACCCCCATTACATATGCATAATTAAAATAGGGAACACTATACCAAAAGATTTACAAACAAACTCTAGTCTAAATGGCTTCAATTTGGACCCCGACTACATTTACTATTTAATTCAGTTTCAACCAATATGCATAAAGTTATTTCAAACCAATGTGCAGACTGGTTTGAGACCTGGTTGGTGCTTCTACAACCTCGGAGCACTGATGCACACATTATGGGCTTTCTTCTATGCATTTTTATGGGAGTTTGTTGTCTGGCTGCCAGAGTTTGAAAGTAGCTTTGAACTGCATTAAATACTCTGTAAATGGGCCTTGGATACTGAATTTTGAATCAGACTAATAAAATACACTTCTGTTAATTCAGGATAATATTTCATGCATATTCCACATATCTAGGAAAAGGACGTTCAGAAATGTGTGTGTGCAAGAAACACTTCCCTGTAGCAAATTGCTGTATTGGTTTAAAGAAGACTGGTGACCACTTCAATATTTTATTTTTAATACAAAACAATTGTGCTTTTTAGATCTTAAACATGTCAAGGATGTCTCCTGACGTTTCGCCTGCATCTATGGCAAGCATCCTCTGAGGATGCTTGCCATAGATGCAGGCGAAACGTCAGGAGAAATGCCTCTAGGACATGGCCCTATAGCCCGAAAAAACCCACAAGAACCTAGTGATTCCAGCCATGAAAACCTTCGACAATACAATGTCAAGGATGTTTTTGGAGGTTTTTAAACAATGACTGCATAGATCTCTATCAGGAATGCTTTGATATATGCGTTCTTGCACTGCAGAGAGTTGGACTGGAGAGCCCTTAGGGTCTCTTCCAATTCTTTCATTCTATGGACCTTATCCATAGGAGGGAAGGGGGGAAAGTGTCCTTAACAGTGATGACCTACTCCAGCAAGGTCTATCTTAGGGGATGG